CCTACCCACTCCAGATCCCCCACACACACACACACAGTACCGTTGCATTCCTTCAATCTCAAAACTAACGGTGGTTTTTGCTAACCAGTTTAGTTAAAATCTGCGGAGAATATAATAGAATATATTTCAATCTTTGATCAACGTCTAATAACGTTTCTTTCCATATTAGTCTTCGCAAAGACTAAGAGAAATCCAAAGAGAATCAAAGGGAATGGCTGCCATGTTTGTCGATATTATAAAAGAAAACCAACGAAAAGTCTTTGCTGGATTCAGGCAACCAACATGGCGGCTATGACGTCTCTCCACAGCGATATTTCAAGTCCGTCAGCTATGCTATTACTTCTGATAACTTTTATTTGACCGATGAATCAAAAGAACGTTTGGAATGTTCTCTTGTCGATACGTGTATTAATCTGAAAGTACCAATATTAAGTAGTCTAGGATAAATATTTTCGCGACGTGTGCAGTGTGTTAGCCATTAGTTCCATGTCAGATTGTATCAATCGAGGTGATGTTAGGTAAACCTGTTTTGGGTCGAATTACTTTGCAGCAATTAGATGATAGTCTCTCCTGTTTCTTTAGTGATCAAGACAGTGGAATAACATCTCAACATCAGCAAGTCTAACCCTAAGATATCCACTGTGCAATAGTCTAGAGACCCAGGTTGAGACTAGTATTCGCCAGGCGCGGTGCTTCCCAATTTGGTTACTATAGATCATTTCAACCTGTGGAGAACTAAATTAATGACTTTCAGTTCAGTCACATTTTTGGCCAATGCGCATGCGCACCAACTAGAGCTAGCACTAGGAGAGAGTGAAGCACATTGCTTTTAAAAAACAACGCCCAACTGAGTCTACGTATAATTACGCTTTAAAATTAAATAATGCTGTAGCCTTTTCAAGGCCATTGGGTTGACAGCAAAACCGCCCGGTTGCCACAAAGTCCATTGCGGTGCTAGAAGTCGTGCGGTGCTACATGGTACACTTTCATTTTCATAAGACACACACAACGAGTTCACCTCGAAGGGTATCTAGGGCAAGATCACATTCTCCTCAAAGAACTGGCGATCAAAGCTAATACCGCAACAATATTAGTGATATGTAATATTCACTGACCTACAAACATGCATTCCAAAAGCGCGCGATAATAACGAAATGCTTCATGTGAATAGACGTTAACGAATCTTTGGAGTGGAATTCTCTTCTGCGTTGCATAGCGCATCTATTAAAGGCATGCATTTGCAGCTTTCTAGCGAAGCGCGCACAAAAAATAAGATTCTATAAGATGTGGATATCAGTTTACCTCTGCGCGCTATCGAGATTAAACACCCCTTCAGTTGAATGTAATATCATTACCATGTAGTCAAAGATAGCATTTCTAGACTTCGTAGGTCGTAAATGTTACAATATATCTCTGGTCTGATCTTACATTTTCTGGAATGATCTTATCTTCTGAATTCCTTTCAATGCCGCTATTTCCTTCGTTCATGTTGTTCTTTCCAGAGGAATATTTTTAATCAACAGAACAATCCAGAGCATCCACTAGTGGAAAATTGTTTCAATGACTTATCGCTTCAACAGGGTAATTGTAATTGAGATTAAGTTTTCTCACTGGGCTGGTGATGGCGGGAATTTTACTGATAAATAAGCCAGATTTTCGTTGCGATTAAATCCCGGCATGAAAAAGGCATTTCTCCGTGATACGGCAATTTGAAATGATAAATCGTCTTTATTTTTCAAGGGTAGCACTTTTTAGCCAGTGGCTCTCAAATCTAAATTAGTGTCTATCTACTTGCTCATATTTTTGCATTATATATATWTTTTCTTTTCAATGCTTGTTTTCACACAGGTACTTTCGTCTTTGATTGGACGATGGGAAGTTGCAATATAGATATATTTATTCCGCTGCTCTTCGACCGCGGTCTCACGTCCACGTATCATCAGAATATTGTTTTCGGAAGGGCTACAACATTTTTGAAGCAGTACGCAAAAGAGATTCAAGACCACTGAGCTTGAATCTCACTGGAATCGATCTCTCGGTTTGTAGTGTATGTGTTTCGATCTGCGCATGCGTTAGGCGTTTTAAAACGCATGCCGTCATAAGGCTGATATACAGTGTCAAATCGTTCCATTCAAATGTAAAATATTTTCATAAAAACAAGTTAAAAAGACTAATTCTGAAGAATGTAGAAGTTTAAGGAAAGCAAATATTCTGTCTTAGCTAAAAATTATAGTTATTTCATATGTCATTGAAACATTTTTTGTCGATTATCGATTATCAAGTGACCCCATATCTATACGACTCTCTGTGTGCGATCTCTTCTCGTGCGATAAAATTCCCTAACATTACATTCTAATTGATTTCGTGTGTGGTTAGTTTATGATAGCAAAAGTCTTTCGTGCTTTTGCATAGTTATTTTCTTCATCTTATCACTCTACGCATTGATTATTAAATACTAGTTGATAAGCACCCTCTCGTGTTCGGAACTGAAACCGGAAACGCCCGAGTGATCTTTTAGCCGCGACCTTTCTCATGGAAATAGATTAACTTTCGCGCGCGATAATGAAGTACATGTGTGCAAACGATTGCACACATTTGGTGACAGCATTGATGCCAAAACAAACCATGTTATCAAATCAAATGAATTTTTTAGCGTCAGTTATTAAGAAATGGTTCCAATAAATCGCTGAGTTAGCTATAGTATCTTTAAATCCTTTAGTCCACGTCAAATCCGTTTAAAGAGTGATTAAACCTCATGTGCACTAATTTATTTTCGATAAGAAAAAGGCTTGAGAACGAAAATATTGAGACACGAAAGGTTTTGAATTCTTTCAATTTTTTATGAGTCGAGACGAGTTCCAGGTTGTTTGCATGACACTAGCTATGTGTGGAGAATCATGAAATACGTTAGCTTTAGGTTGACATGAAGGAAAGGTTTCGTCTGGGGGGGGGGGTGAGTAGGGTATTTATCCTCGTGATCGCACATACTCTTTCAAAAGTGTCTCATCTTCGGTAGAGATTTGGTATTGCTTCACTGTTTCTCACTCTCAGTGGCTTCCCCCTTTCCTTCCCCGGGTCTCTCTTATTCCTTGCACTCCCCGCGCGCCATTGTAGTCTTCTCCCGTCTCCATCAGGACAATTTTTATCCTCAAATTGAAGTAGAATGATAAAAATGTTTTATTTTTCTCAGGTCTACAAGAATGGTCTGATTACATTAGGAGAAGAGCCAATTTCATTCTCCCCCCAGAAACACAGAAAGTTCCTGTTCCCTCCCGAAGCAAAAGTCATCGCCCCTTTTTACGGGCAGGGAGATTTCACCAATACCAGTAGAATATCATACGGTGAGACACGAGATTCAGATATCCTGACTCGAGCGAGTAAAGATGTCAAGCAGTCGTTCTCTGGTGAAGACGAATTCAATGCGTCTGCGGTGTTTATTGTCACATGGTGCCAAGTTAAGCATGCACAGCACAGTCAACATAAAAAGGTAGGATCTAGTTTTTTCTCTATTTTTTAGGAAGTGAGAAACTGAGATATTTTCTGAAAAAGGAAAATATGTGGAGATGCGGGGTATCGAACCCCGGGCCTTCCGCATGCAAAGCGGACGCTCTACCACTGAGCTACATCCCCGATTTGTTGCTTCAGCCGGAGAGATAATCATAGTCTTTCATAATGTTTTTTTCATAACGAGCTTCCTGCCTGCGGTTCATTTTAGCTTTAAATTTGACATTTTTAAGGTGCTGACACACGGTGCAGCGTTGCATGCGACATTGCACGCAACAGGACTGTTCCAGCGTGTGTCTACCCCAAACTTGTTGCACGAAACTTTGCATGCAAAAAATCTGAAATTGAATCGCTCTCTACTCTTGCAACTTTGCGCGCAACAAATTTCATTATGTTAACATAGCTGCAACATTACCTGCAACATTTTGAAATTTCCAGCCAATCAGCTTGCACCAAATTTATATCTGCTGACCAAATATCTTAACATAGCAGGCTGACACAAGCGATGTTGCGTGATTTTGTTGCGATGTGTGTTACACTGATTCAAATTTGTTGCTTGCAATGTTGCGTGCAATTTTGCATCGTGTGTCAGCACCTTTAGTGTACTTAAAAGGTTGGAGATAAAATACGAGCAAAAATCTTAATATGTTGATAGCCTGAAACAAACTCTGGGCTTATCTGAGTCAGGGCGCGGTTTATTCACAGATCAAATCGCTATTTTTTTGGGTTGGGATTTGCGCAGAAAAGACACCTGGAAAAATAAGTACCACAGTACCATTGGTTTAGTGATATTTGCATTTTGAGTGAAGCCATTTGAAGTTTATTGCGCAAGTTTCCCATTTAATTAAAAATCAAAAATTAAACATTTAAAATGTATTTTGGAGATGCGGGGTACCGAACCCCGGGCCTTCCGCATGCGAAGCGGACGCTCTACCACTGAGCTACATCCCCGAATCGTAAGTAATTGTGCTAAGTTGACTTCTTAATCCCTGTTTACACTAGCGATTTTTGCGGCGATTTTTTCTGCGATTTTTTTTCGATTTTGTCCATAATAAGTAATTGTAAAGAATTTACTTGTAAAGTTTTTATCAGGATACCAAGATTTTCCTAGACGAATGTCTCTTTTGAAGGATGAAACAAAAGATTTCATATTTCCAAAATTTGCCACAAAAATTGCAGCAAAAATCGCCGCAAAAATCGCCAGTGTAAACGGGGCTTTAGTGTGTAGGTAATGGATGTTGGCAAAAACAGGGTAGTTTTAAGATTTGACGAATGCATGTTGAGTTTTAGTTATCTGTGTTCATCAGTCCGGTGTTGGATTTTTTCCATAGAACAACACATTCCAAGCAGTACTGGTAACCAATGGCGACCAAACCTTTGTTATTTTCAACTACCTTACACGAGGTCTGCAATGGGCCAAGGGATATCATTCGCAGTGGAAAGGCGCAAAATATGCGTATGCGCAGGTGGGATTCAGCGCTGGTGATTTCGTAAGGTGAAGTAGTGTTTGATTGGTTGGCTCGACTATTTTGACTCATTACAACATCATTGTCACTATCATCATCACTATCATCAAAATCATCATCATCACCACCATCATCGTCATCGTCACCATTATCATCATCATCACCATCATCTTTATCTTCGTTCATCACCATCATCACCATCATTATCGTCATCGTCACCATCATCATCTCTACCATCATCATCACCATCATCACCATCATCTTCATCATCGTTCATCACCATCATCATCGTAATCGTCACCACCGTCATCATCGTCATCATCATCATCACCATCATTACCACCACCATCATCATCATACTGGTGGTCACCTATACTCATCACATGACCATCACACTTATCATACATCACATCTCATCCTTATCCTCGTGCACCAATAACTCTTTACTTCCCCTATCAAGATACTCCACATTACCCGGATCAGGCACAAACCAGGTTCATTGGTTAGCGAGTAAATCCAATATGAACACCCCTGGACGGTGGATATACAAGGTCGGCTGGCCCGGTATGCATGGGAACGAAGTTCAGTCAGCTGACAGCTTTGAAATAGATGATTCTACTAATACAGACTTCTTTGCTGCTCAATGTAAGTTGAAATCAAATAGAGCTAATATTTCTCCCAAAACAGCCCGTGATTCAGTGCGCGTCCTACTTGTTACCAGTTTTCCGCACAACCTCGGAAAAGCCAATAAGGGAGCTCTGTGGATCATTACCCGAGAAGAACTGGGTAATGGCAACTTTTTATGCATGGCGAAGAGGACAACGTGAATGGAATTTGTCTTACATTGTTACCACAGGTAGCCCAGCACGCTCCCCCCAAATAACTACGTTTTTCTGTTCTGATCTTATAGTTTACGATGGGTGTTTTGTTGTTCACGGTTACCTCACCGCCAACCGAAGTCAAATCTGGAAGGACGTCAGTATTCGTTCCTGTATTGCGCTCTGCTTCGAGCGACGCCAAAAATACGCTGCACTTCACAATGGTAGCCAATGCGCATGTCTGAATGACATCAGACACCTGATCAAGACTAATACTGACCAAGACTGTGATATGGCGTGTTCGGTTAACGATGATGAGGTCTGTGGAGGACAGATGACCGCGTCTGTGTATCAGAGTGTGGGTCTCGCAGCGGTTCAATCGGATCAGTCTGGTGGTCAGAGGAAACGAAAAGGTAAGAGAAGATAGTTAGATTTGGATAGAGAATGTAATGAATGGTTAGTGATGGTGCGACAAGGTTAGCAAAGGTAATGATATGGTTAGAGATGAAAAACTAAACAACTGATATGACGAATAAATATTTTTCCATTAAATTTCTCAAAATTTTCCATTTAATTCCCCCCCCCCCCCCCCCTTCCCCCCCCCCCCCCTATCCACGACATGGCTGTCGTGACAAGCACAAGTACCAGCATTGCAAAACGTGGTGAATGAAAATGCTACGAAAAGCCGAACTTAATTATAGTCACTATATTTTTGTGATCATGATAACAGATGTAGATGAGTGTGCGGTAGGAGTGGTCAGCTGTCATGCCAATGCAACATGTATCAACAAATCTCCTGGATACTGCTGTCAATGTAATGAAGGTTTCTATGGTAACGGAATCACGTGCATCGAAATAGGTACGTGTTCAAAAAAGTTCACTCAGCATGGTCCATAGTTTCCCCATTTTAGACCACCTTTGCCTCGAGTACACAATATGCATCGAATCGAAATATGGCGACCAATTTGAATAACTATTGTTGTACACTGACTAGCGACTACTGTCTGGTCCCATAGGGTCCCATAGGAGTATCGTTTATCGTGTCACGTAATAAGGCGCGTGACAATATGTGACAGGTAATGCGTGACAGATTCTGTATGACTGTAGTGTTCGTCTGTTTGACTGACAGGTGCCGTTCAACGCATGGTTGGCTTTCTCTCTGGCACAGTAAACGGTGAAGAATTCATATCTCTCAACATGGACACTATAGCATTCTCAGACGATGGTCGTGCGTACGTGTCTGTGCGAGCCTTCCCACCCTATCTGGCTCATTCTGCTAGGGTGTTGACCCCCCTGACTGACGTGGTTGGCTGGATGTATGCTAAGCCTAAACCAAGTGGGTTTTACAATGGATATAATGTGGTTGGTGCGAGGTTTGTCAGACGAGCGTCTTTGCGCTTTGATTCAGGTTTGTTCATGATATTTATTACAAAATTCCTTCCTTCCTTTTTCCTTCCTTCCTTTTTCCTTCTTTCCTTCCTTCCTTCCTTCCTTCCTCCTTTTCTTCGTTTCTTGTCTCTTTTCCTTCCATTTCTTTCATTTTGTCTCTATTCGTCTTTGATCCCTTTCGTTTTTGCTTTTCTATATATCTTTTTACTTTACTTACATATTTTACTATTTCTAGATTTCATTTCCTCTTTTATCCTCATTCTTTCTTTCTTTAACATTCTCCAGAAAGATTATCAAGTTTTCTTGACTTGACGAACCTCATGTTTTAACAACAGGCGAAGAGTTAGCTATCCTCCAGAAATACCAGGGCAGAGACGTGCTGAGCCACTATATGAAAGTTGAAACAACTATGAATGGTGCCATCCCACGAATCCACCCAAAAGCTGAAGTGCGCATGCGCAAATTTAGACAAGAATTTCAAAGGACGGCAGCGGGGAGAGTTCAGTCACGTGGTACTGTCAAATATCAGGTAAAGATACCTAGAATATTTTGTGAAATGGTCTTCCTATGGTAAAGGAATACAAAACAATAAAACTGATTTGACTAAAATTAATTCTGTCCTTCAGAATGAGCTACACTGTACTGTGACTTCCTATAAGGAGTTCAGTTATTGGTATAACTTGCCTCGCGCTCAGTTTCCATTGCAGTATTTTGTGTGTATTTTTCCCGCCAAAACGTCGCAGCCGTCACGTGCGTAAGAGTCATCCTTGCTGCTCGATGTTTGAAAGGCACAGCACAATTCTTCAAGCTCTTCATTTATTTCCTGTTTTATTTCCTGGCCCAGGTTGATGGTAGGGAACACTATTTCACAGTGGATCAGTTTATCGATTATGACGAACAAAAAAGGTGTGGTCAACACGTGGTTAGAGGTGTCCTAGAAGCTGATGTACTCACGTCAAACTATGACCCGGCCCAGGCCTTCCTCGGTATTGCTGTCAAAGGAACTTTCATCAACACTACACTGGATTCTATCGATGGTTAGTTCGACTTATGTAACATCCTTTTTAGCTTACTGTTCTGCGTTGGTTTGGATGTTTTTATCCAAGACAAATGTTAAAAACAAAGCCCGGTGGGGGGAGGTACCGGGGGGGCAAGGGGTTTTTCATTGAAATAAATATCGTGTTTCAAATTGGCCAGGAAAAACCCGAACCGAAGTAGTAGCTTAAATAGTCAACTAGTCAACTAGTAGCTTAAATAGTCAATCTTGTTCACCAGTTCAAAGCCAAGAAGCTGACAAGATGTGTGGAAGCAAGAAAGTCACGTGTCATACACGTGGAGTCTGTATTCAGTATAGGGGAGATAAAGAGTGCCGCTGTAATCATGGTTACCTTGGAGACGGGGTTACTTATTGTGATGGTAGGTATCTTACTGTTTCTTAGGTACCTAAAGTACCTTGGTTACAGGGTAGGTATCAATGGTTGCCTTGGTAACAAGGTACGGATCAACTGTTTCCTGGGTAACTGGGTTGGTATCATTGGAATTTGGAATTTGCTAGATGTCCTTTTGGATTTTGCAAATAAATTATGTAGATGTAGATGTTGGTTACCTTGGTGACTGGATACAGATCAACTGTTGCCTGGGTAACTGGGTTGGTATCAATGGTTGCCTTGGTAACAAGGTACGGATCAACTGTTGCCTGGGTAACTGGGTTAGTATCATTGGCTACCTTGGTGACTGGGTACAGATCAACTGTTACCTTGATAACGTATCAGGCTGCTTGCCTGGGGTGCGATGTATACTTTAAACRAATCCTGAGTTAATTCGTTTGCGTTTATAAGCTCAGAGCAACTGATGTATGTGGTTGTTTTTGGTGTCTTTCTTTCAGATGCTGACGAATGCAAATTAGGTCGTTACCGCTGTGCTCCAGATGCAGACTGTGTCAATACTGTGGGCTCATACAGATGTGTCTGCAAGAAAGGATATGTTGGTGATGGAAAAACCTGTCAAAAAGGTAGCAGTGCATTCTATTTCTTGACATTCTCCCATTCATTTTGCCGTTCATTTTCCATCTAGTTTAATTTATTCACCTTCCTCCCAGATTCAGTAATCCAGTGCCCAAGGCCATGTGGTGCTAATGCCAAGTGTGTGAAAATCGCTCTGGGGCTCCTGTGTAATTGTAATCCTGATTACCAAGGCGACGGATTCGACTGCAAACGTCAGTAGAATATATATATATATATATTCGAATTATTCATTAACTTTTGATTATATTAAGGATTATTACTAATTACTATGAACTAGCGATGATGATGATGATACATTATGGTGTTGATGGTGATGATGGCGATGATGGTGACAATGATACATAATGATGGTAATGGTGATAATGATGATGAGGTGGTGTAGTGATTGTTATACACTATGGTGATGATGGTGATGATGGCGATGATAGTGACAATGATACATGATGATGGTAATGGTGATGATAGTGATGATGGGGGTGATGGTGATTGTGATACATGGTGATGATGAAACATGATGGCGATGACGACAACAGTGACGATGAAGGAAGATAATGATGATAATGTCACGATAAGAATAATAATGTTAATATTATACCAATCATTTCCCTAGCGGACGGAACATGTGCAGGAATAAAGTGTGACCCCAACGCTAAATGCGCAACATCAAGTGACAAGTCACGCAAGTGCGTTTGTAACGATGGTTACCAAGGAGACGGACAGACATGTACAGGTAACACCATACCACTAAATATACGAAACTATTACTTCTAGCGGGATGACGACATTCTTGCTCAAGGGGGTACGGGTCAGTAGAGTATTATCACTTGTCAAGTTGCTTTGAGCATTAATATCGTACTGATAGTCTTCCTAATATTTTTTCAGCTTTGGAAGGAAGGTGTGGTGGCGTTGTTTGTAGCACTAATGCTCAATGCGTGCAGTCAAAATGCGTTTGTAATCCTGGTTTCCAAGGAAATGGCAAGAATTGCTCAGGTACAAAGTTTATCATTATCTAAGTGCATGACAGCTGCTTCTTCAATGCGTAAAGGATTATTGAAAATTTTGCACTTGCGCATGCACAGTAAGAGTGACATAGCTTGGGAGTCGAGTCTGTCAGACGCATTTAACAAGCAGCCGCTATGAATGCGTGACACATGCATGGATGGGCGTGACATATACGATGGGATGTCCACTGATATTCTTGCTTGTTCCTGATAGACGAAAATGAGTGTGAATTGAAAACTCATCGATGTGATACCAACGCTGACTGCATCAACACCGTAGGCTCATACTCCTGTCGATGCAGGCTAGGCTACCAAGGCGACGGCTTAAGTTGTCAGAAAGGTAACTTAAATATTGTAAGTCAGTTTATCCAGGCTTACGACTAGGAGACAGATTCAATTCGTATCAAATTCATCTTTCCTCTATAGCCTCGGCATCATGTGGAGGCGAGAAATGCCATCGATTTGCATATTGTGACGTCGATCCCCAAACCAAGAAACAACAGTGTAAATGTAGAAGAGGTTTCCGTGGCAACGGAGCTGAGTGCTTAGGTAAGCTTTACTGTCATAATAAATATGGTATAGGTTGTGGTAGACCGTCTTTAAAATTCTGATGCGATTGACAACCATCCCTCCTATCTCCCCTGTGGCGGGAAGTCCAGCTAGGGGGAGAGTAGAGGAGGGAGCTAAAGGAGGATGTTTCACTAGCATGCTTTGCGCGCCGTACTCATTATGCATCTGTCTTTAGCGTTTGTTTGAAAAACTTCCTCTCGACGGCGATTTTCCTCGATTATTTCGCCAAACAAAAACAGCAGCGGTTTGCTTATTAAAGATTTTCTGCATCCATACTGACAAACAATAGAAAGTCTGGACATTTCTCTGGGACCTAGTTCGGTATTTTTGTAATTTTTGCCATAGGAAAAATCAAAATATGCAGTATCAATGAATGGATAGAAAAAGATAAAAATTGTTTTGACAAGCGAAGTCTTTGTAGGCTTTGAATTATGTGGGAATAAGTCGAAATTAAAGGAAGGAAATTTATAAAAGGACACACCTACACAAAGTATAGTCCTCATACTATCCTATATCCCTTAAGTCTCCTTAAGTCTGCACGTTTGATTGAGATGTATTTCATGCCATGTATTTCGCTTCGTCTTGTCTTACGTCCTTGATTTCCGTGACCTGCTAGATTACCAAAAATTGTATTTTTGAGCATCTTCAGACAAATCTGATAATCTTGATTTTAAAATTCATATAATAACAACGACAATGTAAAATATTTTATTTTTTATTTTAAGTCAATCGAAGGTAGTTTTATTAAAGAGGAAAAAGAGTTAAGTTTACTTTAATTCACAGTACGTGTCACAAGCTCAACAAACAATTCAAGAATTTCCTTAATCTAACAAACTATAAACGAATAAATAGTCAAACCACTAGAAACTAATTTTATTCAACTCGAGAAAGCCAAACTTATCATTCCACAGTGCAGATAATGTAATTTTCTTTAAGAACTCAAATATACAAAAAGCTTAAAAGTTCAAATACAAAGGCAAGACATTCGAAGAAAATACTCAATCGAAGAAAGTAGATTGTATATTTTTCTCAAGGGTAGGTAAACGACAACAAACTTAACACATGGCTTTTGTATATTACCTCGAAAAACAGTTGCTAGATAAAGCTTTATTCACTAGCGATTTTCTTCCGGAAAATCGACTCTGTCTTTGTTCAAAACGATGCAAGTCTTCTTTCTTCAATGAAAATGCCTGGGAAGATGGCTGATAACTGTCACAAATTTAAGACACGTAATACCAGCAAATTCGGTATAATTGATCCTTTTTGACAATAAAGTAGATAAAGAGAAGATCCAAAGTGGAAAAGGGTTCACGATTTTTCTCTGTGATCTCCATAGTCGATGTTTCTGCATTGACATCAAAGCGAAAATGAGTAGATCACGTGACTTTTCAGTGTGATAATATAGTTGGTCGAGGCGCGCAAAGCATGCTAGGTAAACATCCTCCTTTGAGGGAGCTGTAGTCAGACTAGCAAAAAAATGTATAATGGTATCAAATTGTTTTCTTCCCAGATTTCAATGAATGTATTCCCATATTAAAAACATGTGACGTCAACGCCTTGTGTCGCAATACCCTTGGTAGCTATGAGTGTATCTGTAAGAGAGGATTTATACAAGGATCAGATGACGACAAAACGTGTATAGGTATGTATGTGTATAGGCGATGATTAATAATCACGTGTAATCCGGCATTCTGATTGGATGAGCTGCAGTACCTCACGTACGTCGCTTTGTGACTGGTTGATCAGACTTCTTCAGTTGCTGGTTTTCGTAGCCGTAATCTTGGTGGAATTTAATCAAAGCTTGTCTTTGTATATCTAAATGTTGATTATTGCGTCTTGTTTGTAGTTGATGACAGGTGTAATGGAATCAAGTGTGACGTCAATGCTCGTTGTGACCGGGTGCAGGGCTGTACCTGTAAAACAGGCTTCGTTGGTGATGGAAAGACATGCAATGGTATGGATATCAATACGACACTCTGGCCGTCTAGTGGACTGTAGTTGTTTTACCATACTCATTTATTTACTATGCATGCTCCCTTTATCTGCAGATATCGATGAATGCAAGTCAGAGATGACTCGCTGTGATCCCAATGCCGACTGCCGTAACACCGCTGGCTCATTTACCTGCAGTTGCAGGTCTGGTTTCGAAGGTGATGGCGTGCGATGTAGAGGTAAGAACTGGCACCCTGTCAATCATTGCAAAAACCTGGAAACTCGTATTAAAAAGCTATTTTATCAATATGCTTCCATACACAGTCGACAACTCGTGCGATGGCGTCGTATGTAACGTCAATGCCAGATGTGAAGTACAGCCTGATGGTCGAACAAGACGATGTGTATGTAGCAACGGTTGGCAAGGCAACGGAACCTTGTGCACTGGTGGGTTGAAAAACAACGTGTATTTCCTTTTCAATTCATTTCGTCTCTGTCCTTTAAAAGACTGGTAATGAGGCGAATAGAATTGTGGGTATCAGTCCCATGATTCAATTCGAGTAAGCTCGTTACTAGTCTTTCTCGGACTTTGGGAAGAAGAGAATTCTTTTCATTGGTTATTAAAAAACACAGGTGCTTTGGAGTAATTTTTATCTTATGATCTTATGTGTGTTAGACGTTGATGAATGTCAGTCAAGTCGATTCAGTTGTCCACCCAACACGGACTGCATCAACAGTAACGGCTCATATGAATGCCGCTGTAAACGAGGATTTGAAAAGAAAGGCTCGAGTTGTGTTGGTGAGTTTTTTATTTGTAAATCCTGTCAACCAAACAAGTTAAAATTCCATTACAGCTTATGTATTTATTATTGATTAAGTATTCATTACTATTAAGTTTGGTTTGAAGGGGTCTTATTTTATGGTTAAGTTACTGTAAAGGTTAATACATTTTACCCACGCGCATAATACAGCTTGGGCTTCCTGTGGTTGGATGACAAAAGTAAAATCCCTTTGCTCTTGAAAATTGAATTATTTCTCATGTAAAACGATTGTATTGTTCCTGCCATCCAACATTACTGTCGTCACGTGAAAACGCAAAACCTCTATTGATAGGTATTCAGTATGCTATTCAAGTTTTTTTGATTCCCTTTTTATGTTCGTTCAGAGGACGATTCTTGTGGAGGGGTCACGTGTGATGCTAAAGCACGGTGCGTTCAGACTCCTCAAGGTACTCGACAATGCGTCTGCAACACAGGATGGCAGAAAAACGGCAACAGATGCATCGGTAAATATTGGTGATCTTTCGTTATTATTCGTTATTAGTATTCTGATGTTACTTCAGATTTTGTGCGGATTGGTAACCTGTATTACCATGATAGTCAGACTTTAAACTGCGAATTGTTCTATTTTGCAGATAAAGACGAGTGCCAGACTAACCCATGCCATCCAAATGCCGACTGCATCAACTCCATTGGATCGTTTTCATGTCGCTGTAAACCTGGATATAACGGCAATGGACAAGCCTGTAACGGTAAGTTACCTTGCCCCAGGCCCCGCACGTACATCCTGATAGCCTGGTTACGCAGGATAGCAAAATACAAACGTTTTCTCTCCACAGACGTAGACGAGTGTCAGTCAGGTCAATCCAGATGTCCAGCCAATACTGACTGCATCAACAGAGAAGGCTCCTACGAATGCCGCTGTACAACTGGATTCGTTAGCAACGGCTCAAGCTGTATTGGTGAGTAGGCTTTTCTTATACACACTCACATCAAAGACGTTTGACGGAAGAGAGATCATTTTCTCATGACTAATGTAGATTTTATATCTGCGTGGATATTTTGTATCTTATATGTATATTGAGACATTCAGTTCTTCTGACAGGCGTTGGAGCGATTTGTAGCATCCTTGCTTGCTATTTGGAATATTCGTTGTCCGTAATTCATCATTGTCCATGTTTCTTTTGATTGCTGGAAATATATCTTTTGGTCTTAATCTCGCCCTTTTTCCCAAAACCCTTTGCGCGCATTAATCGCCTTTCCATATTACTTTGCGAACTATAGAAGGAATAAACTTAAATAATGAGGACTGAATACGAGCCTGTTTTGAGCATCTGTTTCAAATATGTAAGCATTACTTTATCTAGCTAATTTGTGTTCTGTTTGTTGTGTTCAGTGGACGAGTCCTGTGGCGGTGTCAAATGTGACCCCAATGCAAAGTGCATACAGATTGCTCAAGGAGTGCGACAGTGCGTTTGCAATGCAGGATGGGAAAAGAACGGCAACACATGCATTGGTAAAGAATACCTAAAATTATTAATACTATTTTGTGGTGCAACTCTCGACCCAGACCCCTGTCAATCGTACTGCGCATGCTTGTCAAAATGCTTTTTGGTTACCTTTTTGGATATCGTTGAGGATGCACAGTGTGAATGACAGAACTCTGAAGTCTTGAGTGCAAGCGAGAAGAATACTGACACATAACCCTTGGTCTTACTAGCCTCACTTCAAAGCGCTCCAGAACGAGATCAAGGAGACAAGAAGGGATTGTTTTCTTGCCATGTCTCTTCCATGATAAATGTTCTATGCCAAAGAGCTTATGCAAAAACTAATAATATTCATGTTTCTTATTTTCAGATGTAGACGAATGTCGGGCATCGATCAGCCCTTGTCATTCAAACGCCAACTGCATCAACTCAATTGGCTCGTTCTCTTGCCGCTGTAGGCCTGGGTTCAAAGGAGATGGACAATTTTGTGAAGGTCAGTCAAGGTCACATACGGGACTCATCTAGTATTTATTTGAGTGACAAGTCTCATCTCACTTTCTCAAGCCCTTCACGTCCACAGGGCCTGGCTACACAGTTTTCTGATTGGGTGGTTGCGCAGTTATAGTCCCACGCCCTCACGTCCACAGGACCTGACTACACAGGCCATTCATTTGGCGGCTATTGATTCATGCTATTTGTCTTGAATTCTGTGACAGATGATGGGACGTGTGGAGGAGTTCAGTGCCATCCTGACGCCAGCTGCCACAAGAACACAGCAGAAGGAACAAGATGTGTCTGTAAACCGGGATATCTTGGCGATGGAAGAAAATGCGCAGGTAAAAGACCGAAAATCCTACGAATAGTTTCAAAATACTCGGACCAATAGCAATGGACCTTGTTCAAATTATACACTCATTTACTCAGGGCTAGCCCATCCCACACGGCTTACCGCCTCATCTCTCATTTACCAACGGTAAAGTAAAGTATGCGCAACTCGATAACACATTTTCAGATCTTGAAAAGAACAAGTGAAAATTCTACAGAAAATTCGAAACTAGAGTATTCGAAGGCGATAGGCAAGGTTTCAGCAAGAAACACTTCCCTTGACAAGCATATATTTGTTCGTTCTCCAGATATAGACGAGTGTATTCAAGGCAAGGACGAGTGTCACGAACATGCCACGTGCACAAATAGCGCAGGCTCATATAAATGCTCTTGTAACCTTGGTTACGTTGGAGATGGATTCAACTGCACAGGTGAGAATTAGCTAATCAATTATGGCGGGAAATGATCACGTGACTTTCGCCTGGTCACACATGACTTAGAGTTTTTTAAATGACCTTGCTTATAGAACACTTGCATTATGGCGTCACTTACTATCACTACCAGAATCCCTTGAACACTTTCTTTTGTTCAGTTAATTAACCCCAATTGTTTTACTATTCTCATGAGGGGATACAAATCTGAATAAGAAGGAAGCATTCGCCAAGCATTTTGGTAGTCGTAGTAAAATGACCCCATCATGCAAAAGGCCTATAGCAGGACACAATTTTGAGCATTCGTTCCCAAGATTTTACAAAAGGCTACATTAGTGAGATTATTTAAGGAAGGTACCATCTTTTTTGGTTTGTATAGATGATGGGTCGTGTCAGGGAATCGACTGTGATCCTAATGCCAAATGCGTAGCTTCATCGCCAACAGATGGAAACAGAACTTGTGTCTGCAACGATGGATTCTCTGGGAATGGAGAGCTTTGTAGAGGTGAGCATTAACAGCAAAAAATAAAAAAATAAAAAAATAAAAAAATCGAGAACTCATTTTTAGTAGTTTGGGGTATATATTTAGGATAGTAAGGTTGATGTTGCGGTCAACTAGATAGTGACGTCATCGTTAACCTCGTTTTTATATTTGTTAGATGTGGACGAGTGTGACCTGGGGCATGCCAAGTGTCATCGTAAAGCCGAGTGCGTCAATCAAGTAGGATCATACCGGTGTCGGTGTATTCGGGGGTATGTCGGAGATGGTAAACAGTGTGAAAGTAAGTGATACTTGATGTCCTACCTTCCTGGTGGGAAGGGTAAAAGGACAGTAGGGATAGGGGTTTCTAGTACAGTGTAGCGGTAGTGCTTTAGCCTCTCACCTCTGGGGTCTCGGGCTAGATTCCTGGACTCAACAGCACATACATTATTGAGCCAAGGGTGGTGTAGGGGTAATGCATTTGCTTCTCACCTCTAGGGTCTCAGGTTTGATTCCTTGGCTCGGCATCTCATGTGAGTAGTGTTTGCTAGGTCTCTCTCATGATTAGAGGGTTTTTTCCGGGTTCTCTATTTTTCTAAATTCGATCCGGGGGCCTGTCCTGACTCAACTCATAACCTTCTACTTTCCCTTTCTATGAACAAGATGTTCAAGTCAGAACCTTTACCGAGAATTTATTTTTATTTTTCAGGCGATGGAACTTGTGAAGGAAAAGTGTGCGACTTCAACGCAGACTGTGTGACCACAAATACGACTAGAGGAATAGACAAGACATGCAAATGCAAGGATGGTTTCAGTGGAGATGGGGTTATATGCACAGGTAAGCCCTCATAGGGAATACAGGGTGTGTGTGCTGCTACGGCACCACCTTTAATGTGTTCAAAACATGTGACCAGTGGTTTCATGAGCGCATGGAATACTATTGAGTTATTGTTCGGCATTTGACATGTTGATGTTTTGATGGTACTTGCATGATTATCTATGACTGTCACCGCTGATTTCACGAAGGTGATCCCCAAACCCACCATCATATCTGAGTAGAGTTGTGGTGGCTCTCTTGTACTGCAAGAATTGTTATGCAGGTTTTTCGGTTTTTCTTACTCCGCAAAGCACCTCTAAAATATCAACATTCCTAGATCCCAATTCGACCATGGAACGAGTCACCATACATTAGTAGAGTTGCTTGTTGGTGCTCTCTTCTATTACCTGCTGGGAGGATTAGGAAAAAACTGAGTCAAGTTGGCATTGCAGTGCATTGTGGGGCTGTTTTAGGGGTCATATTTCCAAGATTTCGCCTATAAAACAGCCCCACAATGCACTGCAATACCAACTCGCCCCAGTTTCTCCCTCAATCTCGGAATGGCTAATTACCTGGGTTTTCTCTGGGTTTTTCAATTTTCGTTCCTCCGCTAAGCACCTCTAAATTCCAATTCCATCATGGAACGAGAGCCACTGGCTATTACGTGTCACCCTTGTAAAAGAAAGGTTCGTTACAAACATCCTTTGTTATGGTTACCAGATGTGGATGAGTGCATCAAGGATCCGTGTCCACCAATGTCTCAGTGTGTTAACGCGTTCGGCACCTATGTATGTCAGTGTAAGCCAGGCTACAAGAAGTCCAACGGTCTTTGCGAAAGTAAGTCGTTCTTTTATGATGTTGACTGTGCTTCTTGTTGTGTATATTTCCTTTCTTGTGTGGTCAAGGACTTTCCCTTTTGGCTCAGTTGACTGGCCATCAAGGTCAATATCCTGTCTTAGCGCTAAAAAGATCTTATGTGCTGTGTCCAATGCTATTTGAATGGATTGCGCAGTAACCGCGCGTTGTGATTGGCTAAAATGTCGTAGCGTGACCGTGCCGTGCGATGTTATTTCTAACGAGTATACTAACCCGTCTCGTCTCGAGACACAACACAGAGACGCACAACCACCAAACCCATCTATGTCAACCTAAGCATAGAACATGATATATTTATTGATTTTGTTTCCAGAGATTTGTACTCGTTGTCGAAACGGAGGGTCATGTATTGGTGAAAATGAGTGCAAATGTCCAAAGGGATATTCTGGCAACGTCTGTCAGTGGTGTAAGTACAACATCAGGATTTTTCGTACTATTCCACATAGTCCAGAGCTGGAAGCTTGACCTTAAGATCAACCATTACGCCTGGGTACGCAAGCACTGCTTGGTTACTGCGACGGTACCTTGCGGAAGGATTATGATTGGATAAACAGTTATCTGGTGTGCTGTAATTGGTTGAAGGAAATTGTCAATTCCATGACACGCGCTTCTGTGAGAATGCATATCTAGGACTTAAAAAATAATTCATATAAAGTGCGCATTAATCTTGAGTTCAAAATCGTTCACAGATGGCGAAGCATCGTTGATCTACACAAAAGGAAACAGTGTACAAAGAATGTCCCTTCCGCCTCGATCTAATGCAATAGGTCTGGTCTACAATCACGAGGGGATGGTGAATGTTGGCCTCGATTACGACTGTGTCGAGGAGTATATATACTGGACAGAGGTTATGGAAGGATGTATTATGCGCGCTAAGTATGATGGGACGAATCGGGAGTTGGTTTTCCAGAGATCTGAAGTCAGAAGCCCTGAAGGTAAGAAAGACAAGACAGCCAAATGCCATATTCTCCCCTCCCCTCCCTACTGACCCTTCCCCCCACCCTAATGATAAGTATTGATTATCATTGGTTTGCTTCACAGGATTGTCCGTGGACTGGATTGGCCGTAATCTGTATTGGACAGACTCAGGACTGGATGTGATTGAGGTATCAAGACTGAACGGTAGCAACCGGAAGGTCCTTATCTCTAACGGGCTGTACGACCCAAGGGCCATCCTCGTAGATCCCCCTAGCGGGTGAGTAACTATTGGATGGTTTTTGTTGTTTTTGTTTCTGATTGGTTCAGAGCGAAAGCCATTTAAGAGGGCATCTCTGTAACAGCGTGCCACTCGATCTGGGCTCGAAAAATAGATTTCTTTTATATTCCTA